TTTTTTGGAGTTATTCAACGTATCTATACAATTTTTGCAAATTCCACTAAAAGATGGCAAATTTTGAAAGACAATGTAAAGGGATTAACTCTTAAATCATTGTCATCTACTCGTTGGGAGAGCCGCATTGATATATAGTGTTAAAGCTATAAGATTTCAGGTTTTAGAATTACGAGAAGCTTTACTTGAAGTAGCAGAAACCGATAATGATTCCAAAATTAGGAGCGAAGCAAAATCTTTAGAAGAAATTGAGCTTGGTAACTTTGAATTCATATGGCAGTAGTTATTTGGTATGAAATTTTATATGCTGTTAATTTAGTTAGCAAGGATTTGCAAAAAATTGACATGCTTCTTGATGTTGCTATTGAAAAATTAAAGGGGTTGATTTCTTATTTTGAAAACTATAGAGAAACTGGTTTCTCAAGTGCCTTAGAAATTGCATCAAACATTTGTATTGAATTAAACATTGCCGCGGTATTTCCTCAAAAGCGGCAAATTCGAAGAAAAAGGCAATTTGATGAGAATGCACATGATGTGTGTTCTAGTGTTTCCCAATCTGCACAAGAGTCATTTAGAGTTAATTATTTCTTATGCATTGTTGATCAAGCAATAACATCACTTACCACAAGATTTGAACAATATCAACAATATGAGAATATTTTTGGATTTTTATTTACCTCCGAAAAGTTGTGTTTATTAGATGATAACAATTTGAAATCTTGTTGTAGTTGTCTTGAAGCATCACTTAAAAAGGATGAACAATCAGATATTGATGGAAATGAATTATATGTAGAATTGAAGTTACTTAAAGACTTTTTGCCAATGAAGAATATGGGGCATGTTGATATCTTGAAAATTTTAAAACGTCTTGATTGCTTTCCTAATGCGGTTATTGCATATAGAGTTCTGTTGACTATTCCCATTACTGTTGCAACTGCAGAGCGAATCTTTTCAAAATTGAAGGCGTTAAAGACTTACATGCGGTCAACAATGACACAAGAAAGACTTAACGGATTGGCTTTAGTGGCAATTGAGAGCGACATATTAGAGAAGATTGCATATGAAGACCTTATCGATGACTTTATTTGAAAGAATCTTAAAAGGATAACATTATTTAAACAAATGTAGTATAATTTCAAAATATTGGATGTGATTTTGATGCTCTTGGTGTATTAGTCGAAGAAGAATTGCATTTTAGTATGAAGTATAATTATAAAATATGATATTACTTTTTTATTTTATTATTAGTATTTTTTGTATTAAATATTAGGGCCTCCCTTTGTTCTTTTGAACAGGGCCTCTCATTTGTCAGGATCAGGCCTGGTTAGCCTAAAGGTGGACAACGCTCGGGTGGACGAGGCTTCAATGTTTTATGGAATCCGTACGGTAATGGTTCTATTTTTACGCGTATTTTACTATTATTAAATTTTGATTTGATCTGATCCGGTGTTATTTAATCTAGCTTGATTTGGTCTGTTATGATCCCGGTTGAATCAGTCTAATTAAAAACTTCAGTGATTAATTTGAGTTGTTGTTTTTTTTAAAATCAAATTTAATTTGACATTAAATTTCTTTTACGAAATATTTACATGCTCCGTATTTTGTAGGGAGTAATATTTTTGGAGTGCTCTTTCATTATCTTCCGTGTGCGGCTAACGGCATCGAGACGCGCATGAGATGATTTTCTTAGCGTCAATCGCGTTGTTTTGTATTCGATTGTTAGCCGACCGACTTATTGTTGTACGGAGTATCTGTTTCGATTGGCAAATTTGGTGAGCTGATTACTAAGAGTTTAAGAGTTCATTTGGTATCACGAAAATCCACGGATTCAGCTTAGTCTACTGAAATTTATGAAGTTCTGGTTGAAGTGACTGCATTGACTGATTTTACTGATTTAAGAGACAATTATTTTTAAAATACATTTTTTTAATAAAATAAAGAAAAAATTAGAAATCACCCAAAATAGGACTAAAAACGTTTTTATATTCCAAAATAAGACTATCATATTTTTATTCCCAAAATAGGACTAATTACTGCCATGTTTCGGCAGTACCAGACTTTAAACATGACAGTATTTTCCACACTTCGCAGTACTTACTCCTATTTTGGGAATAAAAACACGAAACTCCTATTTTAGAATTTTCAAGCTTTTTTACTCCTATTTCAAGAATTTTCCCACAAAAAAATATATGTAAAATAGCTAAAATGTTCATCTACAGTAACTTCGGTCAATACAACATAAAAGTAACTACAATCTTACTTTTTCTTATTATTACACAATTCAGCGCATGAAAACAAAAGTTACATGTTTGGAGAAAAAGTTAACTGATAAGTCATATAAGCCGAAAAACAGTTTTACGAAACAGCCTCTAAGTGTTTAGTAAAAGTAGATTTTTGTGATTAGCATATAGAATGTCAAATTACACTAAAACATGTAGAACATGTATGAGTTTATTCAATTTGTTGATCCTATTGTTATGACATTCTTATTACGTAGTATTATTTAGTTTAAGTGAAATATATCATTTAAGTAATTATTTAATAAGATGTGTGATTGAGTATATGGCCCAGGAACCCCTGGTCCATAGACTCCTACTATTCTAAGGGAGGCCCAATAGGCCCAGGAAGCACAGCAGACCCAAAACATAGCGCCCCAAGTACTGAGCAATCCACGTGACACACTGGGGGTGCCTTCGCCCCCCTGGCCGAAGGCTCCAAATTCTCACAGGATGGCCAACTCAAGCAAACAAAGTTACTGGAAGAAAATGGCGAAAATCAGTAGCCCTCGACACCTAGAGCCCTCGACACTAAGGAGGTTCCCGGTACTCAGAGCCCTCGGCTAATCATCTGCAGCCGAGGGCACCTTTCTCGACATAATATCTTCTCCACATGCGCCTGAATCACCGTACCAAGTACGACGTCACATCCAACAGCCACATTTAATGCGGCCACATGCGAATGCAAGTGCCACCCCGCGGAGGTGACCCCTCGACCACCAGAATGATGACACGTGTCCCTATCTGTCATTTATTACTACTATAAATAGCGCCCCTTTTCCCCATTTGTAATCCAAGCTAAAATCACTCATTACATTCTCAGTAATACACCCTCTCTCTCTTACTTTTGGTCTGACTTCTCTCTAGTTACTTCCCGCAGTAACCCTTCGGATACATACCCCCGGGTAGACTATCCATCAATGTGTGTATTTGACGTATCACATACTTATAATTTAGCTATATTAAGGCTATGTTTGGCAGGCATAAATCTCTACCTTCTAACTTTTGTACTATTCAAAACGTCTCTAGATTAAAAGCTTCTAGTTATATATTTGGCATGATAATTTTTAAGAGCTTTTCAAAAATTAAAAGATCTTTTTTGAGATGCTACAGAGAGTAGCATCTGAAAAAAGCCCGTGATTTTTAGTATTAATTAGTCCTAACAGCTTGTAGGGGTGCAAACAAGCCGCGCCGAGCCCGAGTTTATGTAGGCTCGAGCTCGAAATATATTCTATTGCCTCGAGCTCGGCTCGAACGAGCTTAAAAAATCCGGGCTCAAGCTCGACTCGCAAATATTGACATGACTCGATTCGGCTCGACTCGGCTCGATAAATTTGGTTTGTCAACTCAAATGTTACAAGTTCGATTAGCTCGTAAGTTCGGGATCGAACTCGAGCTCAAGTATGAAACAATCTTTGAATATTTGTGCTTAGTATTTGCAAATTGAAATTTACATGCCCAACAACTAAAACTAGAGTTACGGGAACGGAAAATATAATATCTCCCCGATCCTCATATGCATTTACCGATCAGTATTATATATATATATATATATATATATATATATATAAAAATTTATATTATATATATTAGATATACTAATATATATTATATATTCACTACAAAAAAACATGGGATTGACATGTATTTTGGCAGGAATTTGGTAGGGATTTTGGCAGGGATATGCCAAATCCGTGCCAAAAACACTTTGGCACGAGCTATTTGTCACGAAAAATCGGTAAATCCGTGCCAAATTCTGTGCTAATCCCGTAATTTTTTTGTAGTGATTAATTTATAATAATATTATAGATAGTATATATTAAATATATAAATATACACACATATAAAACTAGGCTCGCAAGCTACCGAGCCTAAAATTAGTAGACTCGTTTATGGCTCGACTGCTTAATGAGCCGACTCGAGCTCGAGTTTGACCGAACTCGATCCAAGCTTTGACCGAGCAGCTCACGAGCGGCTCAGCTCATTTGCACCCCTAACAGCTTGTATACCAAATCGAACTAAATCAAACGGTCAGTTTTTTACCAAACAACCACCACCTTTTCTATTTAAGATCTTCTCTGTCACTAAAAGCTAACAGTTACTAAAAAAGTTCACAAAAGTATCTTTTCAACTAGTTATTCCAAACATACCCTAAATATTTATTTGTTCTTTGTTTATATTATAAATTTTTTATATTTCTCTCATATGACTTAAATTATTTGAAAGGATAAATAAACAAAGAGGACAAAAATAGAAAGAGTAAGCCACGTACAAATTTGCAAAGACTCATATTAGAATAATGTAATCCTAATTCCTAAACGCTACAAAGAGATTCTAAAAAGAGTTTTTAGAGTTTTGGGAGAATTCCCTAAATAGGATTCTAAAGAGTTTTGGGAGAATTCTAAAAAAGGATTCTAAAAAGAGTTTTGGGGGAATTCCCTCGATAGGAGTAAAAAAGTTTTGAAATTCCAAAATAGGACTATAATGTTTTTTATTCCTTGAATAAGAGTAAAATTCTGCCTAGTTTGACATTACTAGACTTTAAAACATGACATTTTTTTCCAAACGTGACATATTACTCTTATTTAGGAAATAAAAAACATGATACTTTTATTTTGAAATTTCAAAACATTTTTACTCCTGTTTAGAGTAATTTCTAAAGAATTTTTTCACCAAACATATATTTTGGATTATCCATTAGCCATTTACCAAACTAGGCCTAAATTTGTTTCTTTCTTCTATATAAATCCGACTTTGCTGCTAACCAAAATCAAACTCAAGATTGTTATTTGAGGAAGGCATTAAAATTAATTAATTGTTGAAACCTCTCGCAATGGAAGAGTCAAGATGGATTGCCTATGCAGCTGCGTGGGTATGGGCCACTGCACTCATTCTGCTAGCAAAACATCTCCGCCGGAGAAAGGTTAATCTGCCGCCGGGGCCGAAACCGTGGCCGATCATCGGAAACCTGGGCCTCATTGGTAGCTTACCCCATCGTTCCATCCACGACTTGTCATTAAGGTACGGCCCCATCATGCAGCTCCGGTTCGGGTCCTTCCCGGTGGTTGTCGGATCCTCCGTCGAAATGGCCAAGACCTTCCTCAAAACCATGGACATCAACTTCGTTGGCAGGTACACTATTAATTACGGAGTACTACTTTTTGGTCTAAATAATGTAGCTACACTCGTGATTTAGTTAAATAATGTAGTTGAGCAGTTTAGGCTTAATAGAATTTGAGCTACTAATTAACTATCCCAAATAAGACGTAATGTAAACATATTTGCAGGATTAAAATCTAAATCCTTCAAAAATAGAACTAAAAATTAATTTTCTACCATAAATATCCCGAATCTAACTGATTAATTACCGTCCCTAGTTCCCTTGGGCAACCGGGTCAGACAAGTGGTGGCGGCGACTAGCAAGGCTGGGGAAGATCTAGAAATTTTCGCTGGATTCTGACGGCCGACGGCAACAACACGTTGGAAAAGATGGCAGGGGTAGGGCTATAAGTGTCCAAACACACATAATTAGTCATATTTAGAGAATTTAAAACAATGTAGTCATATTTGTGGTTTTTGGCCATGTTTTAATCCTATTTAGGTAATTTACTCTTTGAACTATGTAAAATCTATAAATTGTTCTAAATAGGACTAAAACTAGACAAAATGCATAAAGAGGACTACATTATTTTATTCCCGAAATATGACTTATTTGATCTTATTAAAAGTATAAACCCCCTTATTAGGAATAAATAATTCTTATTTTATAAAGAAAACAATGAGATAGTCCTATATGTGCACTTTCTTTACGTTTTAGTCCTATTGATGGAGTATATGGGTCTGAGCCCCCGGACCCACATCCTCGGAAGAACAGAAAGCACAAGACACAGAGTGGCGCCCTCGTCGGCCAAGATGCCCCCGTCGGCCGAAAAGGTGCCAACTCAGATTATGGTCCTGAAGCCAAGGAACCCGGGTGCCCTCGTCAGCCGCGCCCTCGTCGGCCGCGCCCTCGTCGGCCATGCCCTCGTCGGCCACGCCCTCGTCGGCCACGAAGACTCCGCAGAACCGGATTCTACACTTACTTATTTGTACAGCCCATTAGTGGCATTGTATTCGGCCCAGTAGCGGTCCAGTTGTAAATGGGCCTCCCAAGCCCAAGCCTTGGGAGCCCAGCCCGTATTTTCTCTATAAATACTCCCCTTGGGAGTAGTTATAGGGGTTACAAAATATTCTATTGAAGCATATTATTGCACTTCTCTCTCTAGCTCTCACTTCTCTCTAGATATACTCTATCATTTGGTGCTCTCGTTGAGAGCTAGAACAATCAAGTTAGCACCCTTCGTCGCTACCAAGCACAGCTAACCACTGATCATGGGGAGAACTAAGTCAAACCGCAACCTCGTCAGCAAAGTCATCCATGAGGACCAAGAGCCCAGGGAGCACGATGAGGACGCCACGGCCGACCAGGCCGGCGGAGGGGACCTCTTCCAGGAGGCCTTCAACCTCACGACGGACCTCCGCAACCAACTCAACATCGGAGTCCCCGACGCCCGCCTCGGCTTGGACAAGAAACGAGCTGAGAAGACGGACCACGCCCCGGCCCAGCCTATGGCCACGGCCTCTCCGTCCGTGGATCCACAGGTCCAGGCCGCGCTGTCGGTCATCATCGCCAGCCTGGCTCAGAACCCCACCGTCCTCAGCGCACTCTTGCCAAGGACCGGGGGGAACGTCACTCCACCTCCTCATCCTTAACCATTGGCCGTCCAGATAGGCAACGATGAGGGGGTAATGGCCCAGGACACGGCGTCGTCCCACTCCCACCCTGCTTCCCCTCTTCGGCCCGGGCAGACCCCAGCGCGTGGAAAAGCCTCTGCCTTCAATAGGCTAGGTGACACGCGCCGTCGTCCGGTTTCGGAGAGGATGGCGGGACGGATTGGTGATCCTCGTCCTGGCTCGCCAAGGGAAAGCTTGGGGTCTGTATCCCGGACAGAGGACCAGCCCCGCCCGGACAAGGGCAAGGGAAAGTTGCACGAGGATGACGTGCGTCACCAGATCAACGCGGCTCACAACGAGCGCATGAGGAACCAGCCGGGCGCCGCCGCGGCCGCCAGGGACCCCCGGGACGAGGTCATCGCCCAGCTGGAAAGGAGGCTGGCTCAGATGGAGGCCAAGCAGTCGGCCAACATCCCTACGGCCGGCGCCTCCAACGACCCCGGCCTCAACGCGCTCATGAACAAGGTTAGCGCCCTGGAGAGGGAGCTAGCCGAAGGGCGAGGTGACCCCATCATCCAGGTCAGGACCAGGACCCCTTTCACCAACAGGGTCCTCTCGGCCCCCATCCCGGAGAAGTACAGGGGGAACGCCATCAAGTCCTACGATGGCCGATCAGACCCCCAGGAACACTTCAGCCGTTACCAGAACAACATGCTGATGCTGAACGGGTCCGACGAATACCTCTGCCGTTGGTTCCTCTCTACTCTCGAGGGGCCAGCGTACGAGTGGTTCAACGCGCTCCCCGAAGGGAGCATCGACTCATGGCAGGATCTTGCCCAGCGCTTCCTCACTCACTTTGCCGGGAGGAAGTGCGCGAAGAAGTATTTCACCCACCTCCTCTCCGTCAAGCAGCAACACGAGGAGTCCCTCCGGTCCTTCATTCATCGGTGGACGAGGGAAACCGAGGAGGTCGAGGGGGCCGATGAGCGCACCCTCCTCGCCTTGTATCAGGGAGCCCTCCGCAGCTCCCCGTACGCCAGAAGCCTCATCACCGACCCCCCGAGGTCGTACGCCAAGGCGCTCCAGCGCGGAGGCTTGTATGCCGACGCCGACGAGCTCCACAATCACAAGAGAGAGGGGGGCCATCCCTCCAAGAAGACAAATCCTTCGTCGGCCCCGGGTCCGTCCCCGGCCGGCCAGGGTGCCCAGGGCCGTCACGGCTCTGGTGGACAGAGTAAGAAGGATCGCCACTGGCGGCCGAGGTTGGAACGGCCGGGGGTAACCCTCACCCACCCGGTCGGCACCATCCTCGATTATGCCGAGAAGCACGGCCTCATCAAGCAGGCTCCTCGGCCGGCCGAGGAGATCCTGGCCATCCAGCAGGGCGACACATACTGCCGGTTCCACAAGAACTCGTCGCACAACACCGACGATTGCATCACACTGAAGAAGGCCATCGAGCGCCTTATTCGCCAGGGGGAACTCTCCCAGTTTTTCAAAGGTGGCCCACGCAAGAACACTTGGGTAAACACCGGCAAACATGGGGGCGAACCCTCTGCGAAGAAGCGGGAGATTGGTAGGCTCAGCGACGACGAGGACTTCGAAGAGCCCCCGCCGAAGAAGAATCACATCCATCTAATCGTAGGTGGGAACACTGGGGGGGACTCCGCCACTCAGAAAAAGAAATGGGCCCAATCCCTTTACATTGGGGAGGTGTCCCACGTCCCCCCCCAGCCGAAGAGGCAGTGAACGGAGGCGATCACCTTCACCGACAAGGATCTGCCTCCGGGTACGGAATCACACAGGGACGCCCTCGTCATCCGATGTGAGATCGGTGACTCCATCATCCACCGTACTTACATCGATACGGGGAGCTCCGTCAACGTGATGTACCTGGACACCTTCAAGCAGCTGAAGCTGGACAGAGCTCTGCTGAAGCCGATCAAGACCCCGTTATCCGGCTTCACCGGGGACTCTATCGACGCCGAGGGCACGATAGTCCTCTCCGTGGAAGTCGGTGACGGCCCCCACCATGCCAGAATTAACATGGAGTTCATGGTGGTCAACCTCCAGTGCGCCCACAACCTGATCTTGGGTCGGCCAGCGCTGGAGGACTTGGAGGCCATCATCTCCATGAAGCACTTGTGTCTGAAGTTCCCCACCAATGACGGCATCGGCTACGCCAGAGGAAACCAGAGGATAGCCAGGGCATGCTACCTCAAACTGACAAGGCCGGCCGAGAGGGAAGGCCAGAGGATAGACACCATCACGGCCGCCGCCGCCATGGACGAGGAGAGGCCACATGCGGAGCCGGCCGAGGAGGTCGAGGAAATCCCTCTGGATACCTCCCGGCCAGAACGGGTTCTCAGAGTCGGGAAGCAACTCCCCCGGGACCAACGAGACGCCATCCTCCTCGTCCTATGGTCATACGCCGTTGTCTTCGCGTGGGGCCCGGACGATATGCCAGGCATCAGCCGCCAGGTGATCACTCACCGGCTGACCGTCGATCCGGCCTCCACGCCTGTCAAACAGAAGCGGCGCTACTTGTCCGCCGACAGGCGGGACTTCGTCAAAGGGGAGGTCGCCATGCTCATCTCAATCAAGCACATCAAAGAGGTGAAGTACCCGACATGGTTGGCCAACGTCGTCCTCGCACAGAAACCGCCGACGTTCAGAATGTGTGTTGATTACACTGACCTGAACAAGGCATGCCCCATGGACCCGTTCCCTCTCCCCAACATTGATCAGCTGGTGGACGAGACGGCGGGATGCGAGTTGATGTCGTTCCTCGACGCTTTCAGAGGGTACCACCAGATCTCCATGCATGAAGATGACGCTGAGAAGACGACATTCATGACCCTAGATGGAATCTTTTGCTACCTCGTCATGGCCTTCGGACTCAAAAACTCCGGCGCCACCTACACGAGGATGGTGGCCAAGATCTTCAGAGCGGTCCTTGGCCGGACGATGGAGGCGTACGTCGACGACATGATCGTCAAGAGCAGGCAGGCCACCTCCCACGCCGACGACCTCCGGGAAATCTTTGAAATAATGATGGAGTTCAGGCTCCGCCTCAACCCCAAGAAGTGCGCCTTCGGCGTCCAGGGCGGCAAGTTCCTCGGCTACATGGTCAGCCGGAGAGGCATCGAGATAAACCCGGAGAAGACGCAGGCTATCATCAACATGGAGCCGCCCCGCAATGTCAAGGAGGTACAGCGACTGACGGGGCGCCTGGCGGCCTTAAACCGATTCCTCTCCAGGTCAGCCGAGAGGGCGCTCCCCTTCTTTCAGATCATGCGTAAAGCAAACAGCTTCAAGTGGACGACGGAGTGCCAGGAAGCATTCGACGAATTGAAAAGGTACCTGTCGTCCCCACCCGTGCTCTCCAAGCCCAAAGCCGGCGAAACCCTCTTCTTGTA